TTAAAAACAGCTGTTTTTACTGTAGTATGACGAAAACAATATAACATAAACCCTTAATGACTCTGCTCAATTTTGTGGATGCCTCTTCGTACGCCACCTAGTTTATTCAAAGTTTAGATAGCCATGAAATATTTCAAGTCTATAAATGGCACCAACTAGTAATAGTGCGTGGAACAAGCGACATATTACCTAGTAATCTTTCACTTCCGGAGACCAGCACCATACTTTGGGAATCGACTAAATACATGTAAAAGAGTGAAAATCAGCCGGGAGGCAAGCTTTAAAATAATTAGGTCTCGGGCAGTGACGTCATCAAAATGGCCGTTCACCCAATTATAATAATACCGCATATCTCGGAAACCGCTTAACCGATTTTGACTTATGACATCTTATTTGAAAGGTCTAATCATTATCTATAAAAAAGGTTATTACAATTTTGGCGGTTAAACCAACGGTTTCTTTGTATTTTAGAAAATATTAATTTTTTATGCCCCACAAAATGGGGTTTTGCATTTATCGTTTGGAAATATTAAAATAATCTAAATTTACTTTCCACCGTTGAATCCAGCTTTAAAAGATGAACAATTTAGTATGTTGAATCATCACTCTATGTATATTGGTTACCGAGATATTGAAAGTAGTAAACACAGAACACTCTGTCCCCCATGTTATCCTTATGGGAAAAATAACATTCTATATCTCAGTTATTTTTTAACGTATCTTAATACAACTTGTTATGTGGTTTCACCTAGTTGAGCTACTTGATAATGACTATAAAATATTTATATTTTACATTTACATGGCAGCAAACCTACATACTCATTTCCCATGTTATTCGTATCGCGAATTTTTATGCATGATTATTTATGAACATTGTACTGCACTTTCTCAGCTTTTCCTTACTTTACAGCTTTAGACCTTTTCAGAAGTTTTCAGGACTCAGATTGACTGAACACTTGTAGGAATTATGATACATTTATTATTCTCAGAACTGTTTACAAAAACTATTGACAAATGACTTCTACTTCGAAACCCCATATACCAGGGTGTACCGGGCTCAACACGCCTCCAGTACAGGGACGGAAAGTACCGAGTTCAACACGCCTCTAGTGCGAGGTGTACCGGGTTCAGCACGCCTCTAGTACTGGGGTGTACCGGGCTCAGCACGCCTCTAGTACTGGGGTGCCGGGGCTCAACATGCTTCTAGTGCATACCCCACCGGTGTGGCGCCTACCGACGGGTTCGGGCCCGGAGGCACAACATGTCGAAGTCCCTCAAGAATGCTCCTTATATAGGGTCGTAACTCGTAAGATGCTTGGAGAGTGGGGGTAAGTACCCAGTATCCATCCCCTGGCCGAAAGTACTGGGCACTTTTCCCTAATCACTTTCCCTCAGTACTTTTCCCTCGGGTCACTGAGCACCATTCCTCGGTGCTTTGGTGTTTTAGCCCATATTACATTACACAACCTTGGCCTTCTTAAACACTTAATTACAACATATGCTGTCAAAACTTGACGTTAAGCGTAAATTTAATTAATTATCGAAGTATTTGAAATTCCCTGAGTATGCAAGTTATAGTATTTTGTAGGTGGATTTTATATCAAATGGAGTGCAACTTAATCTTGTCTTGAAATAGTTCGTGCCTCCGTCTGAATTATTTTCGGAATTTCAAAAGACGTCAAACCCTATATGAAAATTACTAGAAAAATGTAAACTCAAAAGAAACAAAAACAACACGTTAATAAGAATTTTCTCACGTTTCTTATTCAACAATTGCGACAAATTGCCATCAGATCTCTTGTCGGTTATCAGTCTGACCAACCCAGGAAAAAATATTTCCCAAAATAAAATTACTAACATTTATAAAACCCCCGTTGCAGTAGACCTGCATACTCACTGAATTTCAAATGTTTAGATAACTAATTAAAATTAAGCTCAACGTCAAGTTTTGTTAACATATATTCATAAATAATGATTATTTACTCCATTTGATATAAAATCCACCTGCAAAATACAAAAAACTTGCATACTCAGGGAATTTCAAATACTTCGATAATTAATTAAATTTACGCTTAACATCAAGTTTTGACAGCATATGATGTAATGAAGTGTTTAAGAAGGCCAAGGTTGGGTAATTAAATATCGGCTAAAACACCAAAGCACCGAGGAATGGTGCTCAGTGACCCGAGGGAAAAGTACTGAGGGAAAGTGACTAAGGAAAAGTGCCCAGTACTTTCGGCCGGGGGCGGATACTGGGTACTTACCCCCACTCTCCAAGCATCTTACGAGTTACAGCCCTATATAAGGAGCATTCTTGGGGGACTTCGCCATGTTGGGCCTCCGGGCCCGACCCCGTCGGTAGGCGCCACCGGTGGGGTATGCACTAGAAGCGTGTTGAGCCCCGGCACCCCCGCACTAGAGGCGTGCTGAGCCCGGTACACCCCAGTACTTACTAGAAGCGTGCTGAGCCCTGACACCCCAGTACTAGAGGCGTGCTGAGCCCGGTACACCCCAGTCCTAGAAGCGTGTTGAGCCCCGGTCAAGTTTTGACAGCATATGTTGTAATTAAGTGTTTAAGAAGGCCAAGGTTGTGTAATGTAATATGGGCTAAAACACCAAAGCACCGAGGAATGGTGCTCAGTGACCCGAGGGAAAAGTACTGAGGGAAAGTGATTAGGGAAAAGTGCCCAGTACTTTCGGCCAGGGGATGGATACTGGGTACTTACCCCCACTCTCCAAGCATCTTACGAGTTACGACCCTATATAAGGAGCATTCTTGAGGGACTTCGACATGTTGTGCCTCCGGGCCCGAACCCGTCGGTAGGCGCCACACCGGTGGGGTATGCACTAGAAGCATGTTGAGCCCCGGCACCCCAGTACTAGAGGCGTGCTGAGCCCGGTACACCCCAGTACTAGAGGCGTGCTGAACCCGGTACACCTCGCACTAGAGGCGTGTTGAACTCGGTACTTTCCGTCCCTGTACTGGAGGCGTGTTGAGCCCGGTACACCCTGGTATATGGGGTTTCGAAGTAGAAGTCATTTGTCAATAGTTTTTGTAAACAGTTCTGAGAATAATAAATGTATCATAATTCCTACAAGTGTTCAGTCAATCTGAGTCCTGAAAACTTCTGAAAAGGTCTAAAGCTGTAAAGTAAGGAAAAGCTGAGAAAGTGCAGTACAATGTTCATAAATAATCATGCATAAAAATTCGCGATACGAATAACATGGGAAATGAGTATGTAGGTTTGCTGCCATGTAAATGTAAAATATAAATATTTTATAGTCATTATCAAGTAGCTCAACTAGGTGAAACCACATAACAAGTTGTATTAAGATACGTTAAAAAATAACTGAGATATAGAATGTTATTTTTCCCATAAGGATAACATGGGGGACAGAGTGTTCTGTGTTTACTACTTTCAATATCTCGGTAACCAATATACATAGAGTGATGATTCAACATACTAAATTGTTCATCTTTTAAAGCTGGATTCAACGGTGGAAAGTAAATTTAGATTATTTTAATTTTTCCAAACGATAAATGCAAAAACCCATTTTGTGGGGCGTAAAAAATTAATATTTTCTAAAATACAAAGAAACCGTTGGTTTAACCGCTAAAAGTGTAATAACCTTTTTTATAGATAATGATTAGACCTTTCAAATAAGATGTCATACGTCAAAATCGGTTAAGCGGTTTCCGAGATATGCGGCATTATTATAATTGGGTGAACGGCCATTTTGATGACGTCACTGCCCGTGACCTAATTATTTTAAAGCTTGCCTCCCGGCTGATTTTCACTCTTTTACATGTATTTAGTCGATTCCCAAAGTATGGTGCTGGTCTCCGGAAGTGAAAGATTTTTACACTTGTTCCACGCACTATAAACTGTTCGGATAAAGTAAACTGTTCGGATAAAGTAAAATGTGTGGACAAAGGCAAATGCAAAGTAAAAGAGGCACCAAACAAATTTTATGGGTTTTTATTAATTAATATGTAAACTTCTATAACTTAATACGGTGAAACACTTATTGATTGTTTTAGATGTTACTTAATTTTTTCTGTAATCTGCTACTCCAGTGTCAAACTTTTGCCTTTTTCAATTTTACAATAGTTTTTAACTTGCAAAGGATACTTTTAACCCTCTGGGGACGTGTGACGGGTATATCCGCCTATGTCTTTTCTTTGGTGAAAAGGATGGGATCCGCATATGGATTGTTATGTTCTGGACGGGAGACGGATGTATCCACCTTATCTTCAATCAGTGTTTTTGCAGTACCCAGATGTCTCGGGATACCACGGCACTATAGACATCCCAAGAACAAAACAACCTTGTCAGAAATGAAAAGATCACGTGGTTTGCGCCGGTAGGTGTGGCTTACCCTTCAAACGTGCGCGGCTCGAAATGGCCCAGGTTTCTTTTGTTTCTGGGATGTCTATAGTTCCCCGCGCTCTCTGCAACCACCAGCACAACCTTGAAAGCGACAAGGCCGCCCCCTCCTACACTCCCCCACCCCTACAATTTTGCACATGCATCCCCACGTTGACTCTGTTGGTGCTAAAAGCTAAGTGGTTGTCTGTCTAGCAGCATGAAATAGTGATAACATATTGTTATTTATTCATTGCATATCCTTGTCACAGCCATATTTTCAAAGACCGGCGGATATAGACGGGCCGGCGGATATATCTGCACTATTTTTTAAATTCATAAAACAAGTAAAAGATTATTTAGATAGTACGAGATGTTCCATTATGTTATTAGATGTATACAGGTATAAAAAAAACACAAGTAATGAAAATACATTTTTTTATTTATATAATTTTTGCCCTTCCAAGGCCATTAAAGTCACCCGTCCGGGAAGGGTTAATTCAAATGCACTTATTGTTTTGAAAATGAGCAATGATGTATAAGTCTCCAACAGTTTGTTAAACAACTTGTATACTGAAACTAAAGTGTTCTTCTTAAGTTTAAGCACTAAAGAGTCGTTTTAAAATGTTTCAGATGAGAAAGCTGCTACTAAGAAAGCACCCAAGAAGAAACACAAAAAACACTAATTGATTGATATTTGTTTTAACTTCAAGACACAGTCATTCCATTACAGTCATTCCATGCTAAATAGTTACCTAAATTTAAAATTAGTTAATTGAGCTATAACTTATATAAAAATAGTCTAGATTGAAAGAATATTTGTACTTACATTTAATACTTACTTACAGATCATTTTAAACATTTACAAAATAAAGAATCAAATTTATTTGTGATGTAAGCAAAGCGATACTGTATATGAAATTAAGTAATCTAACTTTTGTTATACCAGTATACTGGTAAAAAAAATTTGAATTTCAATTATGTTCAGTATTATAACTTTATAGTTTATACAGCCTAATCACATAATTTTTTTAATAAATACAAAATTTAATACATTCGTTGAGATTTCAAATATTTAAATCAAATAGATAAATTTAGATAGTAAAATTTATATATTTAGATAAATTTAAATAAATAAAATACATTTAGATAAAATAATTTGCTTCAGAAAAATACTGACAATTCTTGTATATTGTAATACCTATGTTTTCTAATGAAAATAACAATATATAAAACAAATGTACTACCGGTACATTAAACACAATTTAAAAGTTACTTTAAGTCTTAAGGGCAATTAGCCCAGTCATTTTATATTTAAAATATGCTTGAAAAATGAAAAAAATATAGTTCCAGAAATTGCTTTAATATGTCCTCCTAGGTCTCTATTAACACACCAAAAAGCCCCGAGGGTGGGGTGTTGGGAAGTGACCGCCATCTTGGATTTTAGATTTAGGTGTCATTTTTAGGGTTTTCCTAAATATCTCGAAAACCATCAACTATTTATACCATTTAAAATTAGGGAATTAAAGAAGATTAAATTTCCTACAAGAAAAGTTTATGATGTAACTATTTTGTTTCATTCATTTACAAGATATAATAAATTTGTAGAATATCTTATTCATTTACTCCTTCAATTAGGAATACATGTAAATTAGTATGTAAAATAAATGCTAAACGTGGCAAAGCCTATCCACCTAAGGTCAAATAACCGATATTAATGAAATTTTAAAAACATTTCCAGTAATTTGACACTTAAATTTTTTCCAAGATTAAGGCGAGGGTGAACACACAAAAAAGTTGTAATTTAAGAAACTACTAACAAATAATGCGGTTATTGTGAGTTCGTCAACGCCTTAATTTTGGACAAATTTTGATGATTGAAGTGTCAAATTGCTGGAAATTTGGCCAAGATTTTATGAATATCCGTTATATTGACCTTATGTGAATACGCTTTGCTTTGTTTAGCATTTATTTTACATACAAATTTACATTTATTCCTAATTGAAGGAGTAAATGAATAAGATATCCTACTAATTTATTATATCTTGTAAATGGTTGAACCGAAATAGTTACATACTTTTCTTCTAGGAAATTTAATCTTCTTTATTAATTTCCTAATTCAATATAGTATACACAACCCATAAAAATGACACCTTAAATCCAAGATGGTGGCCATTTCCTGACCCCCACCCTCCAGGCTTTTTGGTGTGTTAAGATAGACACCTAGGAGGACATTTTAAAGCAATTTCTGGGACTAAAAGATTTTTTTCATTTTTTAAGGCATTTAATGACCGGACTAAATACATTAGGCCTACAGGTTATTAGCTCATTTGTTTATGAATATGTATTAATAAAGTTAGAACAAAAATTATTTCCAACACCAGTATTTATATGTCAGGGAGGCAAGAATTAATAAGTGCATAGTTTTTGTTACTAAACCTTATTCATATCTGTGATTTTAAATATGTGATGAACACTTGCTCACATGTAACCCAGTTATTATTTTTACCTCATTAATTTAAAGAATTGTTACAGTTTTTGTTAAATCATTAATGTACCATATTTTATTGTATTGATTGTATTGTTATGGTAATTGTTATATGTGCATATATTTTTATACTCTGCATAAACTTTCTTCACAACTATACCGGCTGTCTTGTATATGATTCCCTTAAATAAAATGTCACTTTTATTCCATACCAACTAACCAGTATAGCTACATATGAAAACTGTAGCTGAGTCTTGCCTTTAAATCTGAAAGTAACTTGTTTGATTGAAACAAAATTTGATTCTGGACCGAGGTACAAATTATTGTCATTGGGCTATCACTATTGATCATATCTAACAAAAAATTGATGTTAAATAGCAAATTTACACATGCATAAATAAATTTTAGAAGTAATGCTAAGCAATTAACGAAGTAATGAAACCTTGCTGTCTTGAGTGTCAAAAAGGATTACATGAAGCCCTACTCATCTTGAGACATTCAGTTGTCAAGATGGTTTCTAAGGTTTTCAACTGGCTCACTACAATATTCTATTTCTACCTAACTTACCGAGGAATCAGTCTGATATTTTTAGAATGTGATGAACACAAGTACAAAAGTATAATTTATCAGTATGGGTTAGAGAATAAGCACAAATATCTGAGCATTTGGGTATCAGTAAGTATTTATAAGTGTTTGTTTACTTTTAACAATAATGTATGCAGTATATAAAGTTGTAGAGGAACTTTGCGTGGAATACCTATGTTTATAAGAACAGAAGATTATTATATTAAGTTTATAGCTATTTTTAGATATTTAAGACGATAAATGTTTGAGATGACTATTCATTAAAAACATTGTTTCACCATTTCAGTTGTGAAAATTATTAAATGAATTATAGTATTGACATAGCCTCCTCTAATACAAGGCCATACAGTGAGATGAAAGGGACAACACCGCAGTTCCGCAAACATAAACAGCTGTTGCACTATAATGGAACATGCTAGTTTATAAGCATGTGTGCAATGTTTATATTTACAAGTTTGTTATTCCTGTTATTATCATGGAAATAGTTACCCTAGTGCGATATTTTAAAAGTTAAAAGGTAAGTTAAGTTTTCAAGCCTTTTGGCAAAATTAATATTTATTATAAAAGTGTAAATTTACGGTCCAAACATGTCTAAGCCTAATATTTGCTTCACAGCTTTGTTTAGGTGTAGAGCTTACTGAGGAAACTCATACACAGTTTTGAAAGAATGCAGTAAACTATTTACCACGCTCCAGCTGACTTACCTCATTCAGCTGATTTTAACGAGCTCTTACTGTAAACAACTTTCTAGTCTACAAACAGTAGTGTAGTGGAGCGGAACGGTGTTCCCACAGTGTTTATTCCAATAGTCCTACATAGTATATTAATCCTAAATGTTAGTCAGTTCTTAGACAATAGCTTTGACTATTAATACAACAATAGTAAGTGTTCCCACACTGTAAATTTAAAACTACATCACTGTCTTCAAGGACAAGAAAACCTGAACACCCCTGCTTACTCTCGGAGTGTGGTAAAAAAATAATTACAGCCTTTTACTCCTTAATTCTTCTTGGGGTGATCTGGATAATTGGGGATATGGATGATGGGAACTCAGACAAGCAGAGTTCTTCAGTAATTTATAATTGTTTCAGTTTCTACAAACACTATACTTTGTTATTGTTTCATTTTCCGACATTGTCAACTGCTTGCCCTCCGTGTTTGTTTGTCCTCGATGGTCTCAGCACTCTACCAATGCAAGACATTATCTGCTCACTTCCCTTGTTCTGCCTCTAACGCTGGTAAGTCACCCTACTTGAACTGTGCATGTATTTCTAGTTTTACATTTTAGTAAACAGAGATGTAACAGGATGTAAACTTAACCGTGCAAAGTAGAATCTCAATTATCTGTCTATACTTCTGTGTTATTCAACTCTCCCTGTTTGCAATAGAATACCAATAAGTTATGTATTTTTGCTGTGTGGCTTGACTTAACTGCAGCGGGTACCTTTTTAGACAGCTCTGGTTTGTGCTCAAAAGATACATATGTCAGGGCTTAGCCAACTGCAACTTCTTATGTTGAGCTTCATACCACGGTATGTCAACTTAGTACCTGCACCAAGACTAGTACATTTAAAACTGTATGGTTGTTGGTGGAGCACAGAAAAGTAAAGCTCAGAGGAAACTTGCTTATAGGACATCAATGCACTTTCAGCTCTAGTATGATGTGCAGGAAACATACTTGTGACAAGCAAGGAAAGCCCTTGCAGAGTGTACTGTGCCATAATTCCTATTGCACAGGGCACAGGGCCTTCCTTCACTGTAGAACATGAAGGTGAGGGGGCGGTGTTGGATTTTGCGCTAGACACCAGCGACTAGTGCTAAACACCACTTAAGTTTACTGTTCAACATTTCCTTAGTATGTTAATTATCCGTGGGTGGAGAGAGATTGGTGGGGAATACCAAAAATATTTCCTCGCCAGTGGAACTAATCCTTTTTTGTTTTCCAAATAGGTAGATGTACAGATTATGACCATTCAAACCATCATGGTGCAGTATAATACCTAAAAGTAATTGATAATTGGAAGAAATTGCATCAAACCAGTTACAACCTTTGAATTAGTAAATTGACATAAAACGTTTAACTGGAATGTTTCTTGTTACGTTGAAAAACCTTAAACCCTGCTGTCTTATGAACAAATGTTTTCATGTTCCAGTACATATTCACTGTGTTCTGGACGTTCTACTTGTACGATCGGGAGGTGATCTACCCAGAGCTATTTGATCGGTTTATTCCTCCTTGGTTGAATCACGCGATGCATTCTCTTCCCGTCCCCATTCTGTTGGTTCATCTGATCCTCGGACCCAATCACAACCCTTCTAGGACATCCGCCCTCGTGGGACTGTCGCTGCTGTTTGTGGTTTATGGAGTTGTGTAAGTAAAAATTAGTTTTCCTACAGTCACCCGACAAAGTTGGCTTCCTTGTACGGTTTATAGTACAGAAAGCAGCTAATTACTGCATATTTATACTTTGTCGAACGGTTTATACTTTGTCGTACAGTTTATACTTTGTCGTACGGTTTATACTTTGTCGTACGGTTTATACTTTGGCGCACATAAGGATTCCAACGAAACAAAACAAAACAGCGTGGTTCTATTATGCACGTAATCCGTGTACGCTTGGTAATAGGTTGGCAACACTTAAAGATAATAATACTATGAGCAGCTGATCGACTATTATACGATTTAACCTGTCATTTCGTGTTTATAATTTCGATATTTCTGAACTTTCTGGACTTTTCTTTTAAACGTTTTTAAAACATTCCTACGATCTTAATAAACAAGAAAATACCTTTAAAGCATTTGTTTAGGCGCGGAAACCACTTCAAATTACAAAAACATACGGAACTATATTCTCAAGTCGCGGAGCACATTTCTTGCCGAGGAAAAATAGCGGAGTGATACGGACCGGGTACTACTTTCTCTAGGGCACCATTTGTGTTGCCAGCTGAACCTAAAAACGTGTTGTATATGTTTGAAAGACTAATTATTTGTATGCTTTATAGTGTCTCTAGGAAAAATATAATGTGTAACACGAGTGCCTTTGCTGCACTCGAGATCATTCCGCACGAGCCGCCAAAGTGCCACTTTGCCCACTAGTTACACAAATAACTATTTAAATCATCTTTGAAATTTATTCTCAGCATTATATATTTTTTTCTTCAAGATTTATTCGCTGATATCAAAACTACATCAGAACTGATGATTTCTCTAATATCTATTTCCTTATTGTGATTATGAGTAGGCCCATAAATGGTTAACTAACTGAATAGTGAATCGCCATCATTTTAAATGTGTATTGGATTAGAGTGCTTTGATGTTATTTGATATCTGTGGAAACAGTTTTGAGTCTTGAGTTTGGGCATGGACCAACTATAGTCCTGTCACAAAGATAAAGGTGGTTTAAGTGGAAGGTTTCCTGGGTCCCAGCACCACTTTTTCTACCTTAATGTATATATCAGCTGTTGGCTTGTTTCAAAGTTATGGAGAGGTGGATGGGATTGAATAGTTTCCCCTCAAACTGCCTAAATTTTGTGAACAAAGTATAACAGAAGTGTAGACTTCTTATCGTTGTAAAATCTGAAGCATGTTTGATGTTTGTAACACTGAGCGTTAGAAATGTTTATCTATTTTAGAGTTGATTTCATGACTTGTACTTTACTTTTTGGTTATAAAATCAGAGGACGGACTATTGTTTATAATTAGATTATTTTATTTGATTAAAACTAAATAGTAGGCCTAATAAAATAACAAGAAACAAATTGTATAAAAGTCCCTAGAGACAGACTGAACTAATATTAAAATTATCTTCATCTTATCCACAAGGATGACAAATTTACCAAAGATTTATTTATCTATTTTTTGGGTCATGCCAGTGGTGTTATGGGAACCTTTTATTTGACAAATATCAAAGAGGGAATCATTTTGCAGAATCTGAAGTAACACACATAGCCTATGGTTCTGTGAAAGTAAAGATTACAAAATTACATTAATATTATCAGTATTTCCTGACAGTACAGTGGCGGTCCCAGAATTTCATTTCAGGGGGGATGACCAACGGGGGGTTGTGAAAAAAGGGAATTTAGGGGCCCCCCCCTGGAAAAATGTGGAATTTAAAGCCTAAAAACGTATTTTCATACTTATTTGAGCTCTAAAATATACTCAAGCTAATAGTATTTACGTTAGTTAGCTAAAAAAATATAAAATATTTTGTGGGGATATATCCCTCCCATCCCCTCCCCTGGGAAAACGACTGAGACAGTCTGTCATCATATTTTACGAAATATTCCATATTTAGATATTGAAGATGAATATTTTCTGTTGGAAGTTTTGGCGCATCCGTTCTGAAGGGTAACTGGGTTTATCTTCTGTTCAACAATCTCAACCCCTCACAAAGAATGTTCCTACTCACTATCAGCTACCCCTTGACTATTGTGTTCCTAACAATCAGCCGAGGACTTAACAGCTTCGTTAAAGGTAAGTAACGGGCTTCAATCTGGTGTAAGACATTTGTCAAATCACAAATATTAGAAACAGACCGTAAACATATACAAATGGGTTTGGACCTTTTTCCCATTGAAAGCGTTTAAGAACTAACTTCGACTTCAATTTAAAATGCCACTGGAGTAGGAAATAAATGCTATCACTGGCCCAAACGTAAACATGTTTGTGTTACTATTATTATTTGTCTGGACTTTTCCAAGAATATGTTAAGATTGTTGGAAAAGTCCAAACAAATAATAATATTAACATTTCAGAATTGACACAATGAATTTTAATAACATGTTTGTATTCTTTCTTAACAGGAGCAGTGAAACAAATTCCAAACCTTATTTATTTGTAAAGGATTCGGGTAAGTTAGGTTATTTGTTTATGTTTATGATCCATGCTGTTTCTGTTTTAATATCCATAAGTCAAATGTGTGTAGATAGATGTCAACTCTTTTAGACTAATGCAGTGGTGGTTCTAGGACCTTGTTAGGGGGGGGGGGGCTACCGGGCATTTGAAAGAAAGGAAAGGGGTCTGGGGTTCTTCCCGAAAGATTTGGCATTTCAAACCTGTTTCGTGACTCTAAAGCCATTTTCAACATCTAGAACTGTATCCAAAAATTTTTAATTTTAAAATTTAGTTTAGTATTCAATTTCAAGGGTTCAATAGGGGGAAGGCTTGAACCCCCCCCCCCCCCACTTGAAACCCCCACTGGACTTGTGTATAATCTGTCAAAACACATAACTCTAGCCCTAGTCACTACTATTTTGTATAATTAATTAATTTTTTCCCGAAGAACATGATATGTTTATCAGGGTCTAAAATTTACGTTTTGGGAGGGGAGGGGGGGGGGTAAATAATGAATTATCAATTTTGTTAGTGATTAAAAATTTTTACTTAAGTATCAATTTTGTGATTGCCAAAACATGGTAGGTAAGAAAGGGATAAGTTCCCTTGAATACAGGACTATAATATTTTATTTTTAAACATATATTTATGAGATTTGAATGTCAATAGGTAACAATTGTTTTATCTAACATTATTGAACTTTGTTTTGGCATTTCCCAGTGCCTGATTTGTTTCTTTTTTTAATTTGTTTCTTACAAGCACTAAACAATGTGTAGGTTAAATAAGTTCAAACTTGAATAATATGTATATAAACATTTACATTCATACAAATTTAACTAATAAGAGTTCATATTAAAAACTTACACACTGTTTTAAGTGAGTTATTCTATAAAATTGCAACTTAGCACAACTAACTAGGCGTAAGTTTTAGAAATATAATTGCAAAATAATTTAATGTTTTTTTTAGTAAAATATTATTAGTTCAAATGTGAATTGTTACAGGGACCAAGGAAAAATATGCAGTCAAAGAAAAGGGTAGCCAATGAATTTGTATTTGTTATAAAATAAATTATTTGTGTACCACCGGTACTCCAACTGTGTTTCTTTTATGAAAGATTTTTTTAGGAACTCCTTTCAATTGAATTAATAGAGGATTGTTTTGATTTATTATTGCACACTCCTAGTTAGCCTATTTATAAAAAAAAAAAAAAAACACAAAAGTAAGCTTCCACAAGTATATAAGCAGAAATAAGCTTTTGTAGAGCAATTATAGTTGTATATACTGTTTAGTCAATGACTTTTTTTTATTAATATTTAATTTGTACAAAAATAAAATTTGCATTTTGCGTTACAATCAACTTTAACCAAGAATAGTAGAAAAAACCCGGTATGGATTGTGGGAAAATAAAACTCTTCAGAACTTTCTACAACTTAGTTATATTTTACACTTTAAAAAACAGGACAACAAAACGAACCTTCTCTAAACATTAATTCAACTCAACACCCATTAGTCACCATGACAACCGAAATATCCAAAATCGTAAACATAAAGGACACTAGTCAGCTGATGCTAGTTCACAGCTACACGCCCCCGTGGTGTCAACACCACCACACGCCCTCGAGGTGCCGACACAACTTACACTTTCATTTTTACTTTCAACTACTTTTCGCACATCTGCTATGTGATGAGGCCTGCCATTTACTTCAACACTTCTGGGTGAAAACTGTCCAGTAACCACTCCTTCCTTCCATCTCGAAGTACAGGATGGGTTTGGCGGCTTGACATACACACGTTCACCTACTGTAAAATGTGACCCTTCATACACTTCACCTTTTACAGGTTCACCTTTACATCGCCATTGGTACGAAAAAATCTGGGAACTCGGCGATGAATCGCCACCTAATCCTTCTTTAGGTGTCAAATTGTACCAATAGACCATTTCTTGGATACTCCCTTTAGTTCTTGCGGCCATACGCTTGATTGTTCTGTGGTTTCGCTCAACTATCCCGTTTCCACTTGGCCGGTTGACACACCTAAACACAACTTTAATACCCCATTTATCACAGAGCTGAGTAATCTCTTCGCATCGAAATGTTGCACTATTGTCCATCAAAATCTCATGTGGTGGCCCTCGATCAGTAAACAATTCCAACAACACTTTAGAAATCTGATCTTTCGTCTCTTTTGGGATCCGGCGCCAAATGCAGAACCTACTTGGACCACAGTCCACAATGGTCATGAACTTGCTTTGACCATAGTGTGTTACGTCAATGGCAAGCCTATACCAATTGTTCTGGCAATCCAAATACCCAGGCTCCCATTTGATGCTGGATGGATCAATTGACAGACACTCTTTACAACTTTTCACAACTTCTTTAACAACTTTTGTGGTAAAGTTAATGTCTGGGTGACACCGTCTGGCGGTGAATAAAGTACGGTTAACACCAAAATGATGCAAGTCATGAACCTGTTTCACCAATGTCTTTTGGTCCACACTCTCATTCTCATACACAAGTGCAATGCTAGTCTCTTCGTTTCTTGCTAACCATTTTTTTGGCACTCTTGTAAGAAGATCTGCTTTGTTGAACTGTGACTTAATGAGTTCTATTTGTACATTGAGACCGCATTCCAAAATAATGTCTTTAAATAGGCTTAATCGTCTTCTAACCAAAACTTCACTTAACCCATGTGTTTTGATAGGACGGTCCCCCGTCAGTATAGATGACACCCAAGCATGAACTGTCGCTGAATCCGTGATTAATACGATCTTCTTTAACCCCCAACACAGGGCCAAATTTACTCCTTTTAGGATAGCTTCCAATTCTGCTAAATTGATATGTGCTGAATCATGCTGCTTCCTCAGCCACGAAGCATCTTCGACTATCTCACCTTCAATTTCTAGACAAACTCCGATCGCTAGACTGCTTGCGTCACACCACACTTTTCCTTCTTCTCCAGGGGACACAGCCCATTTGCCAGTGGCTGGGTCTCTTTCATCGATTCGATCCATAATATTTGTTAACATAGTTTGCGCACGTTCACTGATCAAATCATCCCACTTCAGATCACATTAAAATGCCATTCATTTCATTTGTATTGATGTGTTTTTGTGGTTGTTTTCTTAACGAAACTACATGCAGGTCGAAGCCAGCTTGCTACTGGATAGTGTCCAATCAATTGCCCACACAACGAGAAAACATCTTTCTTTGTTTTATCTTGGTCCAAAGGTTTTAATTTGTTATCTCTGTACCACATTAGCTTACATCCTGCTCTTCTCAGCCTTAGTCCTAATACTCTGCCTCCATCAAGCGTTTCTGCCGGCTTTGCTGTCAAACCATATGTTTCCAACAATCTAATCACAACATCACTACTGACAATCTTTGTGGGCATGATCTTGCTAGATGTCCTTCCGAGTTACAGATAAAACATTTTTTACTATACTGTCTTTTATTTACGGACACTTCCATCTGAGCGGCGGCTCCAACATTGGATTCACTTCCATTCACTAAACTTCTCGCCCTTTCTAACACTTTTGACAGCTCCATGTCTTGCAAACAACATGCCGCCTTTAACTGATTTTGAACTTCTCTGGGTAGTTCGTGAACAAAAGAACTCTTTATCCACTCGTCAGAAACTGAAGAATCTATTAATTTAGCCAACCTTTTCAAATCAGATGCGTAGACATCAACAGATTCTCCTGGAAGCAAACGTCTGGATATGAACTCCTCATACGCTTGGAAACAGTTAGCAGAGAAAGCCTGCTGCAAAGCTTGGGTCAGGGCGGAGTAATCACTCTTAACTGCGTCGGTAAGCCCATCGTAGACGGCAAATGCTCCTCCAGACAAAAACAAGGGAAGCACTGATTGTAGTTCTTTAACCTTCTGAAGTTTACATACAAGCTCTAACTTTTTCAGCCATTCCGAGAAGTCTCCTTCGCCATCATACAACTTTACCAAATCCGAAAATCTTGTACCGTTTCCAGACATGCCGAAATAGCTTGTGGGAAAATAAAACTCTTCAGAACTTTCTACAACTTAGTTATATTTTACACTTTAAAAAACAGGACAACAAAACGAACCTTCTCTAAACATTAATTCAACTCAACACCCATTAGTCACCATGACAACCGAAATATCCAAAATCGTAAACATAAAGGACACTAGTCAGCTGATGCTAGTTCACAGCTACATGGATCATACACATAAACAAATGACGTTTTTGGCCGGAAAGTAAACAAAACCATGTTAATTAATGCTATTAGTATATAGGGGTTTTGTTTACTTTCAGGCCAAAAACCTCATTTTTTTATGTTAATGATCCATACCGGGTCTTTTCTAGTATTCGTGACTAACTTTAAAGGCCAATTAACTTAAACTACAGCTTGATACAACAAAGAGCATTTTTATAATTCATCAGGCTCCTAAAGGACATTTGGATATTTCTCGAGCTTTTACATAAACTAAGAATCAAACGTACTAACAGATTTGGATTCTTACTGTCATATTATTGGATCGTTGTATTGATCTGTGGATGCGATACTCCCTGATGTGGATTAATGTCCAAACTAGTCAGTACTACGAAAATCTGCAGTACTATCCTGACAACTAGATCAGTTTGTAAATTAAAAGGCTTAAGTGGTTCAGATTCCACTATAAACTGTAGGTCTCTTAGTTGCCATTGGCTGTATGGGCTACTAATTAACAGTCTTGTCTGAGGAACAAGTCTGCCTTATTCACTAACAAGACTACAAGATCGCGCCACTCATCCTACACTGATTTCCATTCATACTTGGCTTAAAATACCTACCTTTGTATGGTCGCCATTTAAAAGTAAAAAAAGTAAAGTATTTCCTAGTTAATCAAAAATTGATTAGCCTTATATACAAACCATCCAAAATCCATCTTTTATTAAAAAAGAACTGCCTACATTCTACATATCAATATTTATTTAAAAATAATTGATGAAAGGGAAGTAGAAAGAAATTTATACAGTCAAGCAACATAGCCTTAATTCAGGTACCAATTTTATCATCAAAATTTAAGTTGAGTAAAATGACATTAAAATATTGAAATTGTCCTTGGAAAAGGTCATATTTGTTTTTCAGGCTCTTTGGTGCTTGATTTAGATACCTGCATACAGTAATCCTTGGTTGGTGTAGTGGCAACTAGTTTCAGTTCATGAACCATCCTCAGGACTACAAGGAGACGGATCAATCACGTAATTTGAATGTATGATTGAATCAATGACTGGGACGGGTGGTGTCCTGTAATCCAGCTACTAGGAGGTCACGAAATGTGGATATTTATAGGCATGCACTGTGGATGCGATGCTCCCTGGTGTGGATTAACGTCTGCAGGAGTGAGTACTTTAACTATCCGCAGTACTATACTGATAAATAGACCAATTTATATATACCTAGGCAAAAATGTGGTTTGGATTCAAGTCAAGTCAAGTCAAATAAATCTTTATTCAGACATACAACAATGTGTACATGAATGCGTCTTAATCTTAAACTATAACTAATACTAAAACCATTTTCCTGATCCATTTTATTTTATTTTATTTTATTTTTTTTTTTACATATTTACATGTTTATTTACATATTTGAACATAGTGCAGTAAATTCTTCAAAATTATAAAACTCTCCATTAATTAGAAAATTCTTAAGCTTTTTTTTGAACTTATTTCTGTTTTCCTCATTCCTGATGCTACAAGGGAGAGAATGAAAAAAATTAACCCCAATTTTATCAGGAATTTCTTTAAATTTTTCTTTTTTATGCTTTTCAATTATAAAATTTTGTTTGTGCCTAGTATTGTAAGTATGTACATCCTGCTGTCTTTGCAGTTGTGACTCCCGGCTTTTAACATATAATATAGTCTTATATATGTAGAGGCTGTAAACTGTAAAGAATTCTAATTCTTTGAAACGATTTTTACATGATTCATTTTCATTTAAATTAAGGATGCACCTTATGGCCTCTTTTTGTAAATGTAAAATTTCATTTAAGTTAGATTTATTTGTTCCACCATAAATTTCAATGCCATAAGCAATATGGGAATGTATATTTGAATAATAAACCACACGCAAAATTTCTTTACTGCAAAGGGGAAATAGTCGTCTTAAAGTAAAAATACCGGAGCTAATTTTATTACATATTTTATCGACATGTGAGGTCCACTTTAGTGTACTGTCCAAGGTTAGACCTAAAAATTTGGTTTCACATGCAAAATTTTCAAATATCTTTTCGCCAGACTTTTTACACTCAAATTTGATGAAGGTTGTTTTGTTTTTATTAAGTAAAAGGTTTTTTTCATTTAAATAATCTCCAATTATTTTGAGCGAATCTTTCATTTTTATTTCAAGAAGTTCAATATTCTTTTCATGCATAGACATACTTATGTCATCTGCATACAAGCAGAGGGCATTGTTTTCTACCCGTTCAGATAAATGTTCTGGCATCCCTCCCAAGTAGCTCAGGAACAGGAACGGACCCAACACAGATCCCTGAGGAACAGAATACTTAACCTCCCTAACATTAGATCTAACATTGTACATCTTATTTCCATCTAAATACCCAATGTTAACAAACTGTTGGCGGCCCTCTAAATAAGATTTTATCCAGTCCAGTTCTTTACCACTAATTCCATATGCTCTGAGTTTTTGTAGTAACTTTAAATGATTCACGCTATCAAAAGCCTTAGACATATCTAAAAAGGTGCCAACAACATAATTGTCCTCATCCAACTTATGTAATACATTTTCAATATAAGAAATTAGAGCTGTAGTAGTAGATTTATTTTTTCTATATCCATGCTGTTCTTGATCTAATAAGTGGTTGTTTTCAAAATAATCTACCAGTTGAAAAAGTAAACTTTTTTCAAATAGCTTTGATAGAGCAGGTTGAATTGCCAATGGTCTATAGTTTTGCGGATCTTTTTTATCACCTTTTTTATATACTGGAATTATTTTTGATATTTTTAGTTGAGCGGGGAAAACACCTGTTACTAGTGATGTATTAATCACATGTAAAAGTGGCTTTAACAAAACAGATTTTGATTCTTTAATAATTTTGATTGGAATTTCATCATAACCGGATGACCATTTAGGTTTTATTGAATCAATTATGGATGTCAAAATTGATTCATCGATGGTTTGACACCTAAATTTTATGTTTAAAATACTTTTATCAGAATTTTGTTGGGTTTTCTTTAATTTTGGTAAAACATTTTTGTCAACCATATCAGCAAAATAATCATTTAAGATGTTTGCGACAGCATATGGTTCTTCTATTTTTTTGTCGTTATGTTTGAGTGAAATATTACTATGACATCTTTCTTTTTTACTTTTTGTTTCAGAGTTCACAATTTTCCAAACAGTTTTGTTAACATTGGTAGAATTTCTAATTTTATTGTCAAAATGGTTTTTTTTCTTAAGTTCTATCATTTTTTTGTATCTCTTCTTGTGTTCCTTAATATAATTCTTCAATGCTATGTTACTTCTATCATCTCTATACAAGTCATGTTCTGCAATTATTTCATGATGCTCATTGATAATTTCATCATCAATCCATCCATTATTTACATTAGTGGAAACTATTTTTGTTTTAGGGAAATGTAAATCGAAGTAATATTTTAAAATGTTATAGAAATAAGTAAATTTGTCTTCCACATTACAGTTGTAAAGTTTTGTCCAATCCTCTTTGGAAAGGTCATAAATGAAAAGGTTAATGCTCTCTTGTTTATACCTCCTTTCATACTTATGTATTTTAAGATTTAAATTGTTATTTGTACTTTTTGAACTGAGGATTTTAAAAAGTTGTCCATCATGATCTGACAATGCTGTAATTAAACATTCTACTTCAAAAAAAATGTTATCTAAATTAGTAATAAAATTATCAATGGCAGATACACTCTTTTCAGCAACTCTAGTAGGAATTTTAATTGTATATTTAAAACCATGCATCTGCAAAACATTAACAAACTTCTTTTTCTTATTGTCTTCCCTCAAAA